TACTAAGCAACCTATTGGAGTAATGCTCTGCTACAGCTGAGCGCTTCCGATTCACTACCTGGCCGTGCGCTCCAGGTGGAACCTTAATCGCTGCCCCCCTGGGCCCTTGACACTCCAATTCCATTTCCTCCCTGTCCTCAGCCCACCGCCACCGCAAGGACAACCTCTCGGACTGTCTGAGCGCGGCGTTCCGCGCACTCGACCAGAACGAAGCCTCTCCTCCTCATCCTTCTATTCAGCGAACCGGATAAGAAGGAGACGATATCCTTGCAACTAGGGGCGTGGCCGATCCTGTGCCCAACCAACGATTCTCACGCCAACTCCGTCACAACACCGTCCCGCACCGTTAACATACGGTAGGCGTGGACTACCGTGAGAATGTCGGCGAGGTTAAAGTGCGGTAAGAGTCCACATCCTCCCAAACGAGGAGGCATGTAGACTCGCTCTGCACTCCCTCGCTGAGAGAGGTTGAGCCAGGATTTGACATGTCGACGGATGTTGAAGTCAACGGTCTTGAGGAGACCCTTAAACACTCTGGCCCCCCGAAGCAGAAAGTCTAATCTAGGTAGGATAAAAGTCCCCAGAACCTCTATCTGCCACGGGGCGAGTAGTGAATGGTCGACCGCGCGCAGGTTCGGGATGTCCCCGACAGTAGCGTAAGACGTCTGGTCAATGGAGAACCCGGTTGGAATGCCAAGGTGGATGTACGAATCACCCTGAGCCAGGGGATTTATCGCCTCCCCTTGGATTTGGAATGACGTTGGTAGGACTCTGCCGCCATTCCCCGCACCGACGTGCAAGATAGCACATTTCGCAGGGTTGAATCGCAATCCCACCGACGCTGCCTCCGCCTCCACAGAGGCAGTTAGCAACCTCTCCATCCCTTCGGGCGTCTGGGCCAGAAGTTCAACGTCGTCCGCATAAACCAGCGCAGACCATGATCGCACGTGTAGGGCGTAGCCATCGTCCGACGCGGCTGCCACACGGACAACCGAGTCAATGGTTAAGTTAAAAATGATTGGACTTAGCGGACAACCATGACGGACGTCCGATTGGATGGGGATGGGTGCTGTGTGAACCTCGGCGGTTTGCACCCTCGTTGTGCAACCATCGTACATGGAGTCTCATATCGCTATGAGACCCCGTGGCACCGCGAATCTTATAAGCGCATTACAGATAGTCGCGTGCGGGATCGATCCAAACGCGTTGGACAGGTCCAGCCACGCGACCACCGCTTGACGCTTAGTTTGCTTAGAGTGCGTTAGAATTTTCTGCAGAACGAAGTTATGCTTGTAGCACAACTCATTCCGCAAGAAGTTCTTCTGCATGGAGCAGAGCTTCCCGTGAGTGACTGCCCAGTCGGTCAATCGGTCGGCCAAGAGCGCGGCGAAGAGTTTGGGGACGGTGTCCCCCAAAGCGAGAGGGCGCCAGTTTTCCAACATGCCCCGATCCCCTTTTTTGTGTATTAACACAGTATTGGAGGTCTTCCAGGACGCGGGGACTGCCTCGAGTCGCAAGCAGATGTTGTAGGTTGCTGTGAGGAGTCGCGCTCTCGAATCCGCCCCATGATAAGATACACCGTCGGGACCCGGCGCAGAATTATTCATACGCCGGAGCCGACGGTCCACCTCTCGCTCCGCGAGCGGACCCAGGACCGCGGACACCTCGAACACTTCCGCAAAAATCAAGCAAAAATCAAGCATCCCACATGTGAGAGGCAAGGGGACTCACAAAAATCAAGCACCTCGAAGGGAACAGAGAACTACCACGTCCACGTCGTTGTTCCTGGG